GTATAACGTCATTCTCGATAACTTTCAGTCAAATGGTGACATCGGTTTATACTGTCTCATCCGAAGGACCAGGGGCCTGGCCCCAGGATCATAAAACAAACTTAGACTTAATTCAAACTTTCAATCACCTATAAAATATTCATTTATTGAGGAACTTCTTTAAATGTTTGCAGATAACAACGCCTCTCAGAAATAAAATTGAAAAAAAAAAATTATTTTGGTCTGCTTGACCTTTATAACATTAAATTATAAAGTAAAGATTTTGACTTTAATTTAAGATGTTTCATGATCCCAGGGCCTGTTTGACAAAAGAACTTACGACTTAAGACCAAATTAAATTCTTCATATAACTTTTTGATAAACATTATATCGAAAATTATTTTAAACTTTTTAAAAGGAATGTAGAAGGATATTTATACACAAACAATTTCAAAGAGAATAATTAATTATGCAAAACTTTACAAGAATCTTAACTTTTTGGTCTTAGTCTTAAGTTCTTTTGAAAAAACGGGCCCCTGTCTCTCTGTCCCACAGTGAAATCTTTCAAATGAGAAGTCAGCGTAAGTGAATTAGGCTCCTCCGATATAAATTGACGGTCATTAAATTGTCTTTTCATATAATCTATAAATAGTTTTTATATAATTTATAAAATGGAAACAGTTCATAACACTACAGAATCTCGGGCATTGAAGTCATATTTACCCAAGGCCGACGGTCAGTGCTTCTGAACCGGCACTATAACGTATCAATCAATTTCTTAAAGTTTATAACAAAAGTAACATCATGCAGATCGAATTGTATATCTGAGCAGGAAAATTGTAAGATGAGTCCATTGTATGACTCTATTAAAAACTTTTCGATGTCTCACATGTAACCTCTCGATTGATAACACGGAATTTATAATTCACCTAAAATTCTTTTTATTTTTCTAGGTCTTAGATTTGTTAATGTCAATGTAATTTGAAGGTATGCGTAAATAATGAAACGAGAAATGAAAACAGAGAATTAACGGAATAAAAACATAAACAAGGACCTCACAATGCCAACCAAAAGAGGCAATTTAAGCCAAAAGATTCTGAGTGAAAGGCAAAATACAGATGATTTTTACATGAAAAATAAGGCTTCAATTACTAAAAGCAATATGCACAAAGTGAGAATTAACAATACATGTTTCATAAAAAAAAAATAAGAAAATTGTCCTTGTTTGTTTTTTCCCATAAGCAGATTAACTCATTTACTGGATTTTGTGGAGGTACCGTGATAAGTCATGATAGCTCTTCATCTTTAATCATATAATTCCTTCTGAACTCCCTTGGCTTGTGAAGGTACCGGAATGACTCAATTCCTGCTATTTCTTGTATTATAAATTCCTTCTAAATCTGTGGACCAGAGCGGCTGCCATGGTTGGGGAGTGGATATGGTACGCAACCTGTATAAAATGCAACCAAAATAGTCAAAATTCAGCTTTCCACTCTTTATTAAATTAAACATTCTATTTGTAATAGTTATGATTACAATAAATAATTTCTTACAGTATACTTAACATCATTCTAGACATTATTAGTTCTAATATAAAAAATAAAACCTGTAAATAAAATTCTGAAAATTACTGATTTGACAAAAACCGCGTAAGTCTAGAAAATTATCTCACCTGTATAAAAACCAAGACAGTCAAAATTCAGCTTTCCACTGAAATCCTGTCTATCCCGGCCACTCATTTTATACTAGGTGTACCTTTGTAAGTTTACATCTCCATATTTGTAACTCCTTCGAAAAATTGCAATAATTAATTTAAATTTGAATTTGAATTTAATTACTATTACTTCTGACCTTGAGTACTTCTTATATTTCCAATGCATTTTAAAATAATTTGCAATCTTTTGCATAACCTTTAAATATTATTTGTTGTAGCCAATTTATTCAAATATCTGACCTCTGGTCACTTCAATACTATTGGTTCCTTCTTCACCCTAACCAAATACATCTTTTCATAAACAAATAAGTAGGAGCTGCATTCCCATGATCTCTTTCGTGGGACCGTCCGGTTCAAAACTTTAATTCCTATCGATCAGTCTCTTTAATTACTTTTATCTGTAGAGCTCGCGTTCGTTATCTTTTGTCAGTCTCATAAAGTCTGTTTCATTTTTATATTTACTGCAATTTTTGTTATGATACATGTATAGGATAGGAGGAAATGTAGTTTGAAACTCAAATACTATAAAATATACTGCAAAAAAGTTTTATTTTAGTAAGATCAGAATGAAATTTAAACATAAGATTTCATAAAGAGTTAAAAAAAAAATGTACTTCTTAATTTAAAAAAAGAAAGAGGGTAACTTTCTGTGGACAGTTATTTTTTTAATTCATCATTTTTTCTTTTACTTGGAAATGTTCTTAGTCTGAATCAATAAACTGTGTACATTTTATTCCAACTAAACAAGATATAAAATCCTATGCTCTTGTGACGGTTTTGGCTTTGTTTCCTGACGTTTAATTCGTTGAAATTTGTACAGTCAACATATCAGAAGTCTTTTTAGATATTCTTATTACTATTCTAGAGCTAGTTACTTAGAATGATGATCATTGGTCAAAGTTTAAATAAATACCGTGACAGCGGCATTTTCAAGCCCCTCTAGGCTACAGGACCCACAGGTTCAAGCTTACTTTTCTTAGCTCCCAGGGTTTAATCCCGGACTGCTCGTGCAGTCTTATTTTTTTCTGTTTAGGACGTCATCTAAATTCTGTAATATGTAACTAGGTCCTTAGCTCTAGAGTCACTTTGGTTCAAGGATGAATAAGATATCCCTAGGTTTTTATAGTGTTATTTTTTAATAAATAAATTGCATTATCCCTTGTGTAATTATAGATATGAGATAAGAAATTTTTTAGTCTACTAGCATAGGGATTAGGGTCTTGTGCTAAATCTCTTAAGGTGTATGGAAGCCCACTCTCCCCTATTTTGATAGATTTTTCTTAGGGCATCACTGTCATTTTCCTCCATTATATTTTGTTACCAAATTTTCGCCCCCGTTTTATTTTCGCCCCATTCGCCTTCTCCTTGATTTGGCGAATTTAAAACGGGGTAAAACTATTCATAAGTTCAAAAGGGCCAAAATAAAACGGGGCGAAAATAACCCTGTATATAGTATTTACTTTTTATTATTTATTCACTTAATTTTCTTCTACCTCATATTTTAATTTACATTTTGAGATTATTTTGGAAACTTATTTTTTATTTGTTGTCAATTACAAACTATTTAGAATATCACCATAATAAACTGTTAAAATTCAAACTTTTTTTCTTATTTCATAGTGTTGATCATAATCTAGGAATCTCATAACCTAGGTTGAATAAAACAGGAGCAATTATTATACTATAACATTATACTATAACATAGATTGTAGGCTTAATCAGTTCCTTAGTATTACTTAGTAAAGTTTAAAGATGAAGATTACCATTTATATATTTACTTTGGAGCAGGCTGGGTACCTTTTACGTCCATGGATAAACTGGTTCTCGTTTTACCCTAATAAGAAACTAATTTATGATCTAAAATTAAACAATATTGATTAAATTGGAGAAAACATCTCTGTTTGAAGTTTTATTGTTAATAGTAGTAGTGTAACGATTTCATTTCATTTTTCATATAAAAACAAATAAAATCAATAATTTTGCCAACTAGCTGAAAGGATATATGCATAACATGGCCTTGTATTGTTAAATTCATCTCCAAGGAAAAGAGGGTATATAAACCAGAAATATATTTTTCATACAATAAATTTAAGATGAATTGTTAAATTCACTAATTCCAAAAAAGTCACATCGCTCCATTTTGGAGACTGCTAATTCTTAATACTGTTGCTTCCTGGATCTTGTGATATTGTTCTTGTTGTAGGGAACATAAATAAGACTGGAGAGATCCCGAATAGTCTCCACAGATTTGTTGACAGATTCCAAGTATCTGCCACGAAATATCTCTAGAGGGAGCAGGAACATGATTGTTATCATCAAAGAGCAGCAGAGTCTGTAGATCCTGCAGATATTGTTGTGACGTCACTGTGTCACTCAGTCTATGGTGATTCAATATAAACAACATGTGTAACATCACAAGAGGTGGGACAACTACAGCAGGCCGAAAATGCTTCTTACAGATCTGCTGTTCTAACACAAGTTCATCAATGTAATTGTAAACACTATTAAGCACAACATCTCTCACCACAGCTTTCCGAATCTTAGTACCCAGGGTATTCCTTTCCGTGTAATGTCTGTACATATCTACGTTAACATGACCCCTATACATGATGTACGGCAATGACAATCTCTTCTGTGCTTTACGTAAGCAACTGATTGATTGTTCATTTCTACGCGTTCTGTAGAAGTACATAGCAAGATACAGAATGTCAGATAAACAACCAAACTTACAGGACTGTTTTAGTAATGCAGCAACTTTTGCTTTAAAGCAAAGCTTATTCCCATTCTCATTTATATACATACAACTCTGTAAGAACATGGCAGTATCCCTTAGCACATTTGATGTCATATATTGTAAGATGAGTGCCTGATACGATGTCAACATTCCCCTTATCATTCTCTCTATTTATTTGATGTAAATTGCAAATCCCTCAACACTCTGAATAGTTTGCTGAAACATTAAAAGTTCAGTAAATAATGATATATCTAAATAAGTGCTTGATATAAAACTACTCTCGTCTGTACAGACACTCAGTGATCTGTTTAACATAGCAATACTGAGGTAAGGTCGGATTGTTTTACTTAATAGTAGACATGGTATCCCCTTACTATACAAATCATACAACTGACTGAACAATGAGATTTGTGCAGAACCCGTGACTTTCACTCTAAACATGTTGTTTTGTGGAATAAAAAAGTTTGGACATTCTCCAGTACGTACCATGTATATCAATAATTTAAAGCTCTCCCAGAAACAAGACAATAAGTTATCAGGTGTCCAAGACAAGGACGTATTAGTCTGAATGCTCTAAAACAAAATAGTTTTTATGAAGTATGAACAGAGAATGGAGGAATTTGGCTGACAATTAATTACTTCTTTAAGAAAAATTTTGAAGAGACCATAGCATAAGAACTGACAGTGATTCATTGTATAAACGATTTTTTGTTCTGCTCGAGAGAATGATATTCTCCATTCTAATTCATTTTCAGGTTTGCTTCCGATAGGAACAATATGAAATCCTCCCCTTAATATATCTGAAACAGTATTCTGGTCTGGCCATCTCTGTTCACTACATCTCTGAATCCATGGTATTGCGGACGTAGGCCAGCGATGTGACTGGAAACAGAACGCAAAGTCCGCCTCTTTTCCTTGAAATAAGGAATACGTAGAACAGGGTCCATGAGGGACAGCTGTAGTGATGGGGAAAGTGGAAGTCTTTAAGAATAGCAAGTGGTTATCCCTGAACAATGTACTTGAAATGTATGTAATATTATTCATTACTACACAGGAGGAAATGATTTCTGGATTATTTGATTGACTCATCAGGATAAGTCTTGTAAAACCCGGTGGAAGATCATCATACTCCATCAGAATCATAGTGTGTTGCGGGATACGGCATAGATTGATTTTTGAGAGATCAGATATCACCTTATGGTGTGAAGGCCAAAACATGTCATCTACATCAGAAGTACTCAGTCTGAATCCCTCACGCCTACTTCCACTTCTCATTACATTAAGTCCATTCATGGTGTCCACAGGTTGTCTCACCACCTCTGTGGTGTCCGTCACTTCCCTCCTGAGACAGATCTGAGAGAGATCACATATCACTTTGGCGTCTGGATACCATAACATCCAATCAATATCAGAAGTAATCATTCTGAATCCCTCACGTCTACTCCCACTTATCATTCTATCAAATCCCCTCATGATATACACAGGTCTATTCAGCCCCTCCGTGGTGTCCATCACTTCTCTCCTGATCCTCACTTCTGTAGGACTCCCTACTTCACGACACAGTCCTACATATACAGACTCTGACAGGCGAGAAATGTGATTCATTCCCATAAAATTATGAAGGAATCAAAAAAGCACATATCTGAAAAAAAATGACTGCATAAGTATTTTATCCCCCTTTTCGGAAAAAATAGAAATGGTAGATATTCTCTGACTAATTTTGAAGTGGCGCCTTGGAGTATTTTTGCACTGTCCTAAAGGTCTTTATAAATTAAATATCATTTATTTGAAAAGAGTTTCATGACATTACCTTGATAAATAATTTAATTTCTCTTGTATCAAGCAATTTCATTGGCTGAATCATTCTGAGGAACATATAATATTTTGGATAACATAACTTGCCTACGTCACAATGAGTTACGTCAAAACCGTATTACTGCGCTTGACGTTATTTTTAAAATAATGCCCAATTTGAAGCCTTTTTCCGGAGGAAATATTGTCTCACTGTCTACACTGAAATTTAATTATGAGGAATGAAGCTTATTTCAACTTATGTTATCCGATATAACAAAACTTGGGGCAGTTTAGGGTTTCTTAAAAACCGCTTCGCGGTTTATAAAGCGTAAATTGTCCCAACTTATGTTATATCGGATAACATAAGTTGAAATAAGCTTCATTTCTTAATTAAGTTACCACATATTTTAATAAAATTTGAGTAAGATTATTATAAATAGTTTGCCTAAACATTTCACTTGTTCAAAAGTAAAATATTAAGCAAATGGGTTCTTATGATCAGGACAACTTTAGGTACTTGTGCGCTTATTTCAAAAGAAAGGTTTATGGCATGAACACATTTAGATGATATGTAGGTAAGATTTACATACAATACTCAAGGAATTAGTATGAAAGGGTGATATATATAAATTTACAACCTTAATAATCTATCAATACTAGATCAAAGCCTCAGTTAACTGAAAAATTTCACCTTATTTTTCATTTGTAAGTAGGGTAAATGGTAAGAAATATCTCTAAAGGATACATGCATTTAGTTTGCAAAATTTTTTTTTGATATTGTGTCTGTAAATTGGTAGATTTGAATCTTCTCACATATGTTATAAAGCACCAACATTCCATATTTTGTTTCCTAAATGACCCAACAAAGTAACTTTTTTAAGAAAGAAAAATACCTTACCTTGATTTAACTTTCGGTTTGTATTGTGCTTCCCATTACCTGTACGCTATTTATGGAAATCAATGACAAATCACTATTGTATTGGCATGTTAATATCGATGTCTAATAATAACGAAAATCTCATTACCTGTAAATCGATAAATTCGAGGAACAACGTTTAATATCAAAACGCCGTGTCATTTAAATCTTTCACATACGTTTAAATAGAAATACTTTTTTTGAAATTTTCAAATCAGAAAACTAATTTAAAAGTTAAATTGCATTTTCAAATAAGGAATTATCGTGTCTGAGGTTGTATAATAATCGTATTTCAATAGTATATTCGAAATAAACACCCTCATACTTGTTCAAATAACAAACGAAAAATAGCATATACTTCTCTAACTTAATCTTACAATCAGAAAATAAAATAAGTTTTATTGATTAAAATTTGTTTAATAAATAGGTTTCAATGTTTTCATACCACACTGGTTTCCGAGTTTATATCAAGATCTACTTTCTATATCATTGAGTTCTCTACATAAAAACGAAGTAGCTTAATTAGAATCTTCTGCTATTTATAAAATCAATAAACGTCTGAAAACATATGTATAAGTTGTTACTTAAAAGATTTGAGTCTAAGAAGACATTTTATTTCATAAAAAATCTACCATAAGAATACAAGCGTACACACATAAACATTTGACATTATTTTTAAATTCTTGAACTACATTATCTTTGTTTCTTTTGAAGACCATTTGCGTAAATTTCTTTAACAAGTCTTGTTTCATCAAATATGCATACAATGACAGATAAAGACATTAATTGTCTAATAAAGGTAGATAATGCGTATTTAGAAACTGGGAAAAAAAATAGGGAAGATTGGATTCTTAGGCAAATGATTTTACTGAATAAATAAGGAAAGTTGACGAAAGAAAAAGTTGATCATCGTGTAAAATATTTTTTTTTATAAATTATAATCAACGTCTTCAACTACCCAAGTAGACGTAACATATATATTGAACTTGATTTTGTATTTTTATCCAAATTAACTATGATATATGGATTTGACATATGAATGGAAATAACCATTGATAATTGATATCACGTCCTAAAATTAACATTACCTTTCTAAAAAATCTTTTAGATGATAAGTATAATTAGAGTTGCATTAACTCACAGTTAAACTTCTCCCGAAAATAACTCTATACACCCCATCCCCATCATATAGACTACCATATAGTAAACCTTCTCCCAATATCATTAAATAGCCCCCACTCCCTCGAATATTTAACTCTTCCGTCCTGTTGAAAGATAAAATCTGTCTGATAATTAAAGCCTTGCGTCCCTGTTAACTCTTGAAAGAGCTTGGGCACGGATTGATGTTCATTATTTCATAATATGTTAACCATTTCTGAAATTTAAATAAAGCGTGATTAGAAACCTCTTTTATTTATCTAAAGAGACCTAAAGACAATTTAATGTATAATCTCATTAAAAAATTAACAAGAAACAATAATTAATTTATCACAGTGATGATGTGTACAAATCTATTAACCTAATCATAAAATCATGTTAAATAACCATTTTATTTGAAATCAATACTTTCAAGTAAAAATACAGCAATATTTCAGGCAGGTAATCAAGAGAATATAATTCAATAGTTAAATAATTAAAAATATTAATAATATATGATAACAGGGCCATCTTTAAAAACAATCATTAAAACAAAAAAAATAATTATAATAATTTATCAAAATTATATAGATTGCATGTATCAATACATACTGTACATGACTCTAAAGACCTCTAAAATTCAAACCGCAACTGGTGCATAATAAAACAGAAATATTCGCCCATACAAATTTTTAGTCTCAAGATATTTTTCAAGACGCCAATTTTAAAAGTTTCCTCACTGCTCAATGGCCCTGAGTGATAAGTATAGGACAAAATTTGTAGCTCTCCACCGGCAAGTGGTGGCGTCTCCATATGAGTAAATTTTTTTTCTAGAGGGAGGTTACACAACATAAAATCAATCAATCAATCAAACATTGGATAAACACCCCCCCCCCCCTCCTCACCCGTCCCGTCTTTAGAATGATAAAAAAATGAGATACATTAACAAGGAAAAGATTGTTAAATTAGTATCTAAACAAGAAACAAGGGAACTCATATCGCTTTCAAGATATTTATACATGTATTTGAACACATCCTCTCTCGTCTTTTAGATTTTTATGTATTATTGACATAAACTAATTAACTTTAAAATCGATGAGAAGATATTCTGCATAGCACATCAGTAAAATCTATGTTTAAATGTAAAATGTATAAAGAACTCTAAAATCTAAATATTTTTAATCGATCATTTCCTTTGATAAAACTTGTAATAATCAGAAAATTTCTTTTTAAGCTTTAAAAATACGGAGGATCGTTTTCATGATTTTCATTGAAAGCCCCTTATAATCTTATCTAGTCTACCTATGTTATGTGTGCACTGAAGTGATATGAAATTCTGATCGCGAGTGTTCTTGTTAAAACATGCAATTGACATGAAACTCATAACATTGTAACCCTTTATCTAAAATTATGACTTCAGTTTATTTCTTTACCCTTTAAACTCTTTGAATATGAAACTCTTTAGAGTAATGTAATTTCCTAAATATTTTAAACACCATATAATGATCTACTCAGTTTTTTCTGTAGAAATTGTGAATCACTTTGTTCTTGTAAAATTGGATGAAATAAAATCCTTCCTTGCTTAGCATTGTAGTGTTAAGACACAACTTTGTATTATTGTCACGTATCCTTGTTAATACTCTTTTTGTCTATCATAAAAGACATATATTATTATTTGATTATATTCACCCAAAGTTGAACCTTTATTTTCTTTAAAAAATATAAAAGACAGCTTGAAAGGAATAAGTTCCTCCGACATATATTAGCGGTCATTTAATTTTCTTTTATTATAATCTATATATAGTTCCTATATAACTTATAAAATGCAAAGAGTTTATAACACACCATAATCTAGGGATTTGAAAACGTATTCACTGTGCCGTATTAATCAGTACCCCCACACAGCGTTGATATCAAAAGTAGTAAAAATCGGAAACTGTTGTATACTTTAGGAGGAACATTTTTCGACAAATCATCAGTAGGATTTTTTTCCAAACATTTCGATGTCAAACATTTAACATAGCAGTGAATAACACGGAATGTATAATTATATAATTGAACATTTATTTTATTTCTCTACTGCAAAAAGTTTTTAATGGAAATTAAGTTTTAATGATTCGTGTAAAACAGGAAACTAGAACTAAGAAACGATATTCAACAAAATAAAAACAAAACGTCAACCAAAAAGGGCACTTTATGCCTTAATTAATTGTTTAGACAACAAATGCTAAGTGAAATTTAAAAAAAAACCATGTGATTCGTACATAAAAAAAGTTCAATTACTAAATAATGATATGCTCAAAATGCGATTATATAATGTAATTATAATAAAAGAAAATGTCGATTGACATTTTAAAAAATGAACAATATGTGCTGTGCAAATTAATTTTATTTCAGTAAGATCACATTGAAATTTAAGCCTAAGATTTTATGAAAACTTCTTTTTACCGTTTAACTTGAGAAGAAATGAGTATGAATTCCTGTGAACAATTATAACTAATTCATTCACACTTTTACTCCGAATATACTTCATTTATTCCTATAACGATGTGTTTCAAAAGATTTGTAAATTTAATACAGATGTAGCTGCAGACCTGTAGCGTTATGGTTTTATATACTTTTCTTTCACCATAACGCTACAGATCCTGTAATGCAAAAAAAAAAAAGGTGCAATTTACGGCGCAATATTTCTCCACTTTCCATCATCGGTCAATAAAGTACCTTTCACTCCCTCATTCTAGACACATTATTTAACTAATCTATATATTTTATCCATCTACTTAACCTTTATAGTCGTCTCTACATGTGATAAACTCACTTGACTAAAATTATATGTTAGATTGCTAAAAATTCACTTCAAGCGAGTTTATTGTCTTTAGAGAAAACTATAAATGGTTGGGAGGTAGATAAAACATAATTATTGGCTACAGAATGTGTCTAGAATGAGGGAGTGAAAGGTAGATGATTAATCAATGCTAGAAAGTGGAGAAATTCTCCCAAAAGCGCGCAAAAAATATTGCGCAATAAATTGCATCTTTTTTGCATTACGGGATCTGTAGCGTGATGGTCAAAGACAAGTATATAAAACCATAACGCTACAGATCTGCAGCTAATACAGATGAACAAAACATAAAACATGTCATTAATCAACAATTCAGTGTTTGATATAAAATCATGATTAAAAGGAAGAGATCGCCTTTTTTACAGAAACATGTTAATGATGATTCTTCTATTATCAATTTTTTCATACTTTTATAAGAACAAAAACATTAATATATGTATAATGTACCTAGTAAATATATACAATCTACATGGCCTAGCATATATTTATATCAGAGAGAAGAAAATATATAGGAATTGTAAATGTAAGTGACATACAACAAATCAAAATGATGCGTTAATAAACTCGCATATTAAAAATTCTCAGAATGCTACATTAGGGAGACATGAAAGAGACTGTTTATTCTTATAAATGTTGCTTTCTGAAGCTTATGAAATGGTTCTTGTTGTAAGGAATATTGATAACATCGTAGGGATTCTAAAGAGTTTCCTAAAATTTGGTGACAGATACCCAGAATTTGCCACGAAATATCTCTTAGGAGAGGAGGTACACAAATTATATTATCATTGCAAAGCACAGTCTGTAAAACACAAAGAGATTGTTGTGACCTGACTGTGTCACCCAGTCTGTGGTAATTAAGTATAAACAACATGTGTATCATCACTAGAGGTGGGATGTGTATTGTCAGCATGTTATTCATTTTACTAATCCCTTGCTCTAATACAAGTTCAACAATGTAACTGTAGTCACAATAAATATCAATATTTCTAACAACAGCTCTCCTCATCTTAGTACCCAGGGTATTCCTTTCCATGTAATAACTGTACATATAAACATTAACATGCTCCATATACATGATATACGGCAATGACATTCTCTCATACGCTTTATGTAAACAACTGAGTGAGTCTTCATACCTATGTGTTCTGTAGAAGTACATAGCAAGATACAGAATATCAGATGAATATCCAAACTTACAGGACTGCTGTAGTAAAGCAGCTATCTTTGCTTTATAGCAAACCTTATTCCAATTTTCATTGAGGCACATACAACTGCGTAAGAACATTGCAGTATTCCTTAGCACACATGTTGTCATATATTGTAACATGAGTGCCTGATACGATGTCAACACTCCACTAGTCATTCTCTCTATTTGTTTTATGTAGATTGCAAATTCCTCAGCATTCCGAATTGTTGGATGAAATATTAATAATTCAACAAATAAAGACCTATCTAAATCAGTGCTTGATATAATTCTGCTCTCGTCAGTACTAAATATCAATGTCCTGTTAAATGAAGCAAGATTGAGGTAAGGTTGGATTGTTTCACTTAATAGTAGACATGTTATCCCCTTACTATACAAATCATACAACTGACTTAACAATGAGATTTGTACAGAACCAGTGACTTTCACTCTAAACATGTTGTTTTGTGGAATAAAAAAGTTTGGACAATTTCCAGTAAGCACCATGTATATCAATAATTTAAAGCTTTTCCAGAAACAAGACAATAAATTATCAGGTGTCCAAGACAAAGGCGTATCGGTCTGTATGACCCAAAACACGATAGTTTTTATGAAGTATGAGCAGAGAATGGTTGTATTGGTCCGGCCATTAACAACTTCTTTCAGAAAAATTTTGAAAAGACCATAACACAAAAACTGACAGTGATTCATTGAATAAACGACTTTATGTTCTGCTTTTGAGAACGAGATTATCCATTCGAGTTCATTTTCAGATGTACTTCCGATAGGGACAACATGGAATCCTCCATTTAATATACCATCTAAAACATTCTGTTCTGGCCAACCCCGTTCACAACATCTTTCTATCCACGGTAGCGCTAACTTTGGCCAGTGATGTGATTGGATACAGAACGCTAAATCAGTATCTGCTTCTTGGAATAAGGAATATGTGGAACAAGGTCCATGTGGGAAAGCATTGGTCAAAGGAATATTGCCGGACCTCATGAATCGCAAATGGTTATCTCTGAATAATGTAATCGAAATGTATGCTTTGTTATTCACTACTAGGCAAGAGGAAATGATTTGTAAACTATTAGATTGACTCATCAGGTTAAGTCTGGAAAATCCCGGTGGTAGATCATCACACTCCATCAGAATCACTGTGTGTTGTGGGATACGGTAGAGACTGATCTGAGAGAGATCACATATCACCTTGTGGTCTGGAGGCCAGAACATGAAATCTGCATCTGAAGTCCCTAGTCTGAATCCCTCACGTTTACTCCCACTCTTCATTCTATCAAATCCCTTCAGTATGTTCACAGGCTGACTCACCGCCTCATTTGTGTCCATCATTTCTCTCCTCATCCTCACCATTGAAGGACTCCCTATTTTTAGACACAATCCTACATACCCCAGCCTCTGACAAACGAGGCATATGATCCATTCTGATATATAATGAAAGGACATGTATCTGAAAAATAAAAATTTGTATTTTAAATGTTCTCTTTTATGTGAACTTCCTCAATATATATTGCCAGCGCTTATTTATTGACTATGCAATTATTTTTTATGGTTCTTTGGTTTTTGATGCACATCTCTAAGATTACGATAAACAAAGGTGGTATATAGTATTTGATAACAAACATGAATTTTAAGTAAAGTTGTCCTTTATTTCCGAATACTATTTTCTATGACACACATAAAGTAGCGTAGGAGAGAAATCTATGTTTAAGATATAATGCTAAAATATTCAATATGAGCGGGGCGATTTTTAAATATACATAAGAAATACTTTTTGCCGTCATAAGATTAATGTGTATTTCTCGGTCAGTTGATTTGTTACTCAAGAGCATGCTCTACATATCAACAATTTTTCAAACAAGGTAGGCTATTGACATGCAAGTTGTTGTAACAAGAAAACGGCAGTCTTGTTGAAAGTCACCGTTTCTTAAGTTCTATTGTGGATACAATAGAATTGCAATGAAATATAATTTACCAATGTCAAAATGGTCACTGACAATTATCATACTAAATATAAAACCATTATCTACTAACTATACGGTCGACAGATTTTCCAATTATTTCCCGATAATGACAAGGAGCATACAATGAATGGTCGGCAGGGAATGCTAACACCCCCATGACAATTAATCCTACCTCTGCTATGTTATTGAACTATTGAACTTGAATACTGCCAGAAATTATATAATGCATATATCTGTCTTGCAAACTGTTTTGTTATATGGGTGGGATCAACTTCATTTGTCAAACGCCGAATGCGCCTATTGACCTTTGGTAGCCCGGCTTGTCACAACTGCAAGTAGGCATAAGGGTAGATTCAATTGTTTAATTGGATGTCACCTGCGAGGCACAGTTTTAGAGCGTCTGTTCTGGAGTCGCAAAGTGAAGAATTGATCCTTACGTCCTTACGTCGCTTGTTGGAATCCAGCTATGAGATGTGAAGACCGTCCTTCGGATGAGACCGTATAAACCGAGGTCCCGTGTCAAAGTAGATGCTGGCACGAAAAAGATTCCTCACTGCTCAATGCCCTTTAATGCCGAGCATATGACAAAATTTACAGCTCTCCATCGGAAAGTGGTGGCATCTCCAAATGAGTGAAAATTCTCGATAGGAACCTTTAACAATATTTAATTCATCAATCAATCATTATTTCGGGGAAATGAAACGTGGAAATAACGAATAGTATTCAAGATGAAAAATACATAAAGCAATACAAAATAGGAGCATAACTATGTAACTCTAAAACCAGAAGTGGGATCAGGTGCCATGGAGGAACGAACATCTTATGCTGACCGGTCATACCTGCCGTGAAGATGAAACGTATATGTTGTTTGTTTTTTTATTATTATTTTAGGGTTAAAAAATAATTTTTCATTCTAAACCTAAAAAAAAACCCAATACCAACATTAATGTACACAATGAAACATATAAACAAGCATAATCTCATTACAACAAAACAAAATCACAATTTTAAACACATAAAAAAATCATTTAGGCCATTTCTTTACATTCCATACAAACATATTCAAAGGTCAATAACTCTTTGACACTCAGATTAAAAATCAGATAAATTATATTTATTTACGTACAAATCTTACGATATGAGTTTTATTTACCAGCGTGTGAAATGAAGTAGTACTCTGTACTCCCTCTTGCAGGAATAATATATAGTCATCACTTCAGATAACTTAATGGATTAATAAAATATAAATGCATTAGATCTAAATCTTAGATATTTCAATATGAAACTTTTTTTTTCGTTCATGGAATTTCATTATTCAAATCACTTTCATTTTTAATTACTTGGCAAAGACAGTTCTTAGTAATGCATGCCAAGTGCTTGTGCAAATGTATGGTTGAATGATTGAAATCCCTGATTTGAAATATTTGACATTGATTATTTATAATTTCAACTGCTAACAGAAGGACTCTATTAGTTTTGTTTCTTATTAAAATTCTATATGATCGAATGATACAGACAGCGATCTAGATCTGCAAACAACAAATGACAATATGCAAACAGATGTGTGTAGAAGATTATAAGAAATGTGAGGGATACATACATTAAATTAATCCAAAAGAATTGTAATTGATAATTCTTATATTTAAAAGTCAATATCTGTAAAGATTTGGAACACCATGTACAATTTTCCCTTGAAAATTACCAAACTAAGTATTCATTTCGAAAGAAAAAAATTTTTCTCACCTTGATTTTACTATCGCCAGAAATTTGAATGCTTTTACCTGTTGTCTATTTCTGGCAATGAATAACTCATCTATGTCAATATTTAAGTAATATCGAGATCTTAAAACATGGATCACATTACCTGTTAGCTGAGGGGACATTATTTAGTGTTTGGCACAATATCAAAAGGAACTCATCGAACCATTTCAAATAAGTATATAGGTTTGAATAGAAATATAAAAAAGTATGATTTAAAATTGGAAAGCTTAAGTGTAAATTGTATTTGAAATTTTAATATATTGTGCCTTGCGATAATTTATTTGTTGTGACGTGAATTAATTTTTGACTCAATATCAAAATGAACAGATATCGATCCATTTCTATTATTAATATTTTAGTTTGAATTCAGAACGATTTAAAATCGGTAAATTGGCCTTAAAGTGCTCTGATTGCTTCGTATTACATTTACTAAAAATGTGGTCATTATGTTATCAAGAGAATATAAAAGAGATTTCTTTTATCAAAATATTGACTTGGATAAGGTTGAATATATACAATAAAAAGGGAGTTTAACAAAAACAATTAATTTATAATACAAGTTTAATTTACAAGAATTTTAATTTCAGTCAGAGGTCGCTAAAAAGTAAGGCACGGGGAGAAGTAATTAATAACTAGATGCTGTCATGAGACAGTAATACCCGCACTAAGGTGTTTGCCTCTAAATGCACACTCCTCTAAAATTAGGCTTTACCAAAGAAAAAGTCAATATAATTTAATAATTTACATAATAGGGCCTCCATGTATTCATCAAATTGAGCATAATATTCTCAAGTGAACATGTGACCCGTCACCATGGGCCTCGATCTTATAGGTACATGTATTTCATATTCATAATTCATTACCAGTCTGAAATTAAACAACAGAATTCAATTAATGATGTAAATTAGGTTTGAAACAAGGGGGGGGGGTAAATTTTTGGCCCAGAATTGGAACTTTTTAAATCTATTTTCTCATATAGATTAACAACAAATATCATTCAAATTAGTTTAAAGCGTTTTTGATGATTTTTTCCAAAATGTACAAACTTTTTTATACTTGATTAGGCAGAAACACCTTGAAAGCTGCCATATACCATTTAATTTAGTCAACCACTACCCTTCTCCCATCAACACACACACGCGCAAACACACCCTATTTTCCTGTTTTTGGAAATAGGCCTAGATGGCAAAGTTAAGATAAAACATCTTTTGTAAATAATAATTTTAAATTTGTTCTTATACTGTAAATGTATCTAAAGACCTGCATCACATTGGGCTTGCGTCACGTACCTAACTTAAGTACTAGTTTTACCATTATCATTTTTAGATAGCACTGCACGTGCAGTACTAGGCCTAGTGTTGTGTACACATCATTGCATGTATGTCAGTTGGAATTATTTTGTGTTTAATTGGATTATATTTCATGAAGTTGGAGCTATGGCAGTCGGTAAGTACACGTTTTGGTATAGATTTGGGTAAAATAGTCTGAAATGCAACTGGTTAGGTTAAAGTTTAAAGGATCAAAGGTCATCCGATGCTGCAATAAGACGAATTTCACATTCTAAAGAGTTATCGCCCGTTATCGACGTTACATTCAGTTATGAAATACAGAATTTTTTTCTGAGAGGGAGGGGGGACTTCCAGACCAGAATTTTCTGAGAAGCAAATAAAAGGAGAAGTTATGGTGGTGTCTGTTTTCTAGGGTGGAGGGCATCCAAAGTCTTTTTATATTATAGTCCTGCAAATTCGGGGGGGGGGGGGGGGGAGGGGATATCAAGAAACACTTCCAGTCCCTGTAAACAGTAATGGCAAATGATCATGTTACTCCTAAATAGTAGGAAACTTTTTCCATTTGACAATACATAATTTTGCGCTTTTTGTGTTATTATGTTATGTAAATTTAATGGTATAAAGGTTTTGAACCCCCTGGAGGTCATCCCCACTCTCCCCTAACAAAAAAATACTATAGTTAACTAATGTTAACTATAGTTTACTATAGTTAACTATAGTAAATCAAAGTGTCAAAGTTTTCGTCAAAGTTTTTCAAAGTGTCAAAGTTTTCGCCAAAGTTTTTCAAAGTGTCAAAGTTTTCGCCAAAGTTTTTCAAAGTGTCAAAGTTTTCGCCAAAGTTTTTCAAAGTGTCAAAGTTTTCGCCGAAGTTTTTCAAAGTGTCAAAGTTTTCGCCAAAGTTTTTCAAAGTGTCAAAGTTTTCGCCAAAGTTTTTCAAAGTGTCAAAGTTTTCGCCAAAGTTTTTCAAAGTGTCAAAGTTTTCGCCGAAGTTTTTCAAAGTGTCAAAGTTTTCGTCAAAGTTTTTCAAAGTGTCAAAGTTTTCGTCAAAGTTTTTCAAAGTGTCAAAGTTTTCGTCAAAGTTTTTCAAAGTGTCAAAGTTTTCGCCAAAGTTTTTCAAAGTGTCAAAGTTTTCGCCAAAGTTTTTCAAAGTATCAAAGTTTTTGTCAAAGTTTTTCAAAGTGTCAAAGTTTTCATCAAAGTTTTTCAAAGTGTCAAAGTTTTCGCCAAAGTTTTTCAAAGTTTTAAAGTTTTCGCCAAAGTTTTTCAAAGTTTCAAAGTTTTTGCCAAAGTTTTTCAAAGTGTCAAAGTTTTCGATAAAGTTTTTTAAAAAGTTCAAAATTGGCGATAAAATTTTTCTATGTGTTAAAGTATCCAAGTTTTCGATAAAGTTTTTTAAATTTTCAAAGTTTTCGATAAAGTTTTTAAAGTGTCAAAGT